TATTTGCTATATTATACGCAACACTTATAATCCAAATAATTTTATGCTACGTGTTCCTCCATTTTAAGCTACATTTAAACTAATAATGTTGGGAAAAGTTAAATACATGATAATTAAATGTAATCTACCAATTAATTAATGCAAAACAATCTAATTGCATATACACGTTGCATACTTTGAAGTTTTAATTTCTTGATGTGCATTTACAAAAAAGTTTAATGTAAGCTATAATGAAGACCCTACGTATATAGGCTTCTCCATCAAACTTATTCTCAATTTTAATTATCCTTACACTCTAAACTTATCTTTGAAATCCTTGTGAATTTTTTGTAAACATCTCATCAACTTATGAGTGATCTCGGCTTACGGATCGTCACAGATTTGATCGTAATTTGATAGTTTATTAACTAGTCACAGGCCCGGTCAGTTGGCCGGATTCATTTGCCAATCACGTCAACAACATAATCAAATTGTATGAGAGATACGTGGGTTTTAATAGTAACAAAAAATATAAATTATTCAAATATTCGAAATATTCAAATTGATTGGTAAAATAAGAGAATCCAAATTATTAAAGTATTTCAACAATTCAAAATTATCAATATTATAGTGTTTTTCGACATTGTAACTGACTCATTGACTAAATTTTTTTTACGAAAATGAAAGGCAACCTCAAACTTACTCCTAAAGATATTTTAAAATCACCATTCTATTTACTCCTCATCGTTAGAGATTACTGCAAAATTTCTTTTTGGCTTGTTTTCACTTTTTAATGATCAACATCATCATCTGCACCAATAATAATGTCTTCATCTCCATTAATGATATATTTATCTCCATTGTCAATTTCCTATTCCTTTTTTCCTTGTATTTCAACAATCTTTTCCTTGTTTTCCTGCATTTTATTAAGCGCAAAAATTTGATGGTAAAATATTCACAAATACCATGGCTTGTTCTTTCCCCTCATCACTGATACTTGTATCTTCCTCATGAACAACGTGTTTTTTCTTCTCAAGATCATCGTCATCTCTAGCACCGGATCCAGTACATCCACCATTAGCAGTCTCATTTAGAATTATGAATTTAAATCTTTGACATTCAAAAACACAATATATGGTGTGATTTTCTAGAATCATAGTTGTTTAATATGTGTTGGAATTAATATTGTAGCTGAATACTATTACTTGCATGTTAGTACGAAAGGAAGCAAAGTGCCACTGGAGTTTTATGTTATAAAGGCATGCATTTGCCCATAGATTAAAGAATACAACTAAGTGTCATTTTGCATGGTTTAAAAATTAAAGGCATGTACTTGTACATGTTATCAAAATTAAAGTAGTATGCAACTGATAAATGATAATACGGCCAAGTATACAATTGCATGCATGCTAGTGGGTAATAAGGAAAAATTCATATGGAGTTTCAAGTTATGCAATTAAATGCATTTGTCTAGAGTTAAAAGAATACAAATGAGTATCATCTGTGCTTGTCTGCTTGATATAAAAATTGAAGAACTATATACTTGATCATATAACTAAGTATAATTTGCACATGGTATACAAGTTTTAAATCCTTGTGTATATAATTATTAAGTAGTGATCGATAATGAAGAGAGTATTAAAAATATTTTACTTTGCAGGAAAAAATAAAAGAGCTAGTTCAAGCATGATCTAAATTGTCCTATAAAGCAACAGTTCTTCTTGCCTGAGGAAAGCCACGTTCTCAAAGTAGAAAGAGTGCCATAAGAGGTGGGGTCGATAAGACTACATTGAGGGCTGAGATAGAAGCAAAGGCACATCAACATTTTGAAGCCAAGTTAGCAGAAGAAAAGAAGAAATTTGAAGAGAAAATAGCACACCTATGAGCAAAACATGATGAAGAGAAGAGAGAAATGTGTTCTTGACCTATAAACTTCAAACAATTACTATTTTTTTATATCATATTTAGTTTAAATCATTGTTGAGATTGTGGTTAAAGAAATTCATTCTCTATTTTTTTACCTACAATGTACTATTGTCACATATATTGTCATTTGTGATGAAAATATTTGTCACCAAAGGATACATATGTGACAACGTTGTCGTCACCAACAATACAAATTGCGAGAGCTAAAATCCTCACCGTTGTTGATATTTTGTGATGACAAAGTTGTCACAAAAATACATACGGTCAAGTAGCAAATCGTCACTAATGTATACTATTCGTAACAATTCATAATCGTCACAAATGATATCATACGTGACACAAATATTTGGCACACCTGTGTTTTTTCATGACCACTATTATACTCACTCACGAAAGATATCATGTGACTGATTATAACAGTTTGTCACCAATGTTGTTACAGCTGGAACAAAATTGTTGTCACAAAAACTTAATTTTGTAACATTTATATCGTCACTAAAACCACCTTTTGTTACAACTTAAACTGGTGACATTAGATATACATTGGTGACCACACAAAATAGTCACAAGCGTATACTATTCGTTACAAGCATTATTTTGTCACGATTTAGAACATCTTATGTGACGACAAAACTTGTCATGAATAAAACAATACATGTTGGTTATACTATTCAAAAAGTGTTGTGAAAGTTTTCGAAGGTGTTGCCTAAAATAGTGTTGCATATGAGTAATACATATGTAACTAGGGGTGGGCATTCGGTCGGTTCGGTTCAAACCGAACCGAACAGATGCTTACCGAACCCCCGAAGTATGTCATGGGTCAAACCGAGTTCGAACCGAAATATATTTCGGTTCGGTTCATCCAAACCGAAATATATCTCGGTTCAGTTCGGTTTTAATACAACAACCGAAAGTTCCAGAATTAATACTCTCCCCACTAACCCTATTTCACCATTTGCCATATGCAGCTGCGGAGAACAAATTATCTCTCTCTCTCTCTCTCTCTCTCTCTCTCCTCATAGAGCAGAACGCAGCCGCGAGTTTTCCTCCCCTCTCCGCGATTGACGAAGAGAACCCAAGGGTAGGCGGCGAGGGCGATTGAGGAAGAGAAAGACCCAGGGCCAGGCGGTGATGGCGAGTGACGGAGAGCACAATCCAGCGGCGGCGGCATCGATTGACATCGATGCTTGTGACGAATCCGGCGACGAAGGTTAAGAGGTTAGTAAGGCTTAATATCCAAGCATGCATGGAATTTCTGGTTTGTTTTTCTCCTTCGCATCTACGTTTCTCATCGATTTCGCTCTTCTTTTTTGTATTTGGTTGAAGGCTTGAAGGGAAGTGATGGCGTCGACCGTCGAGCAGATCTTGGTTTGGGGGCTCGAACTTCGTCGGGCGTCGAGCAGATCTTGGCCGCCAAGCCTTCTCCTCCCTTCGTTTGCAATCGCCGACGGGGACTCGAACTCCGCTGCCGTTCTCCTCTTTTGTCGCCGAGGGACCGCCGCCAAGCCTTCACTTTCTACTGGTGATTGTTGTGAGAATGAGGTTTGGGTGGGCTAGGGTTTCCTTAGAGAAATGGAAAAATAGTTGTGTGGGCTTGGATTTGTGTGGGCTCAGGGCTTGGAGTTGTACACTGTGAGTGTTTGTTCGGTTGGTCGGTTCGGAAATCGGAAATCAGTTTCGGTTGAGAAGATCCTGGTTTCCGAACTCTTGAGTTTTGGCTTCCGATTTCCGAACCGAATAAGAATACTTCGGTTTCGGTTCGGTTGACTTCGGTTTCGGTTCGGGTTTACCGAACCGGATGCCCACCCCTATATGCAACACTTCTTATTTTGTTACAAAAAATGAGAAAAGTGTTACATATTACTTTAGGTAACACCACATTTAGGTGACACTACTAAAAGTGTTGCATATTGCATAGGCAACACTTTCGACACTTTTTACAACACTTTTCACGTGTTGGCAAATACCACTTTTCCCGTAGAGGATCTGTGTCCCCTTCCACCCAATCATCAAACCCTTCCCATTCATCTTAACTGTACACGATTTCCAACACACTGAGAATTTTAGGCAACACGTGCTACAATTCCAACTACACATGCCAACAAGCACCACATTTTCATGAGTCTGACATTCTCCCAAATCTCATTGACTAATTAAGTAGTTGTTATGAAATGGAGCGCATAAAATGGTCTAACATGCATTTATTTCAACAAAAATGTTAACATGCATTAGAAAGAAATAATTCAGAAATCTCCAACGCCATAGACGCTCCAACTGGTGATGAGGAGTCATTTGAGAAAAATTTCATGACCTTAGGTGCATGCAGAATATTATATAATTTTATTAATTTTTCAAGTAAATTAACAATATATAGTGTTTCATTGATGCTAGTCGTTAATTTAAGTGAATAATTAAACGCTAAATACATATAATTTCAAGGATAGTAAAATTTACAAGAAAATTATATTGGAGAAAGTAAGTAATATATTGGAAAAATATATTTTATATTAAAACTATAATTTAAATTCTATCGTTTCGTACTTCTAAAAACGGACTCCCAATATACTTTTCAGCATAATTTTTTTTTATTCTTGACTAGATTCAGAAGGTTGAACAAAAAGGGGTAAATTGCAAGTTTGGTCACTAGAATTACTATAAAAATTCACGTTTGCCACTCAAATTAATTTATTTCATTCGTAGTCACTTAAATTAGTCTAACCGTTCAAGTTTGGTCACTCTCTGTTAGTCTCCGTTGGTTTTATTTGACGTGGCAGTCAACTCTGAGAGTTGACCGTTAAATAAGTGACGTGTCAATTAAAAAATTAATAAAATAATAAATTTTAATCTTTCAAAAATTCCACCTCATTATTAGAATAAATTTAAAAATATATAAAGCAAATAATTATTCCTTTTTCATTCTTCTCCCCAGATGCCAACCCTACCACTACTCCGCTGCTGCAACTCAGCCGCGAGTCCAACCGGAACTCCTCGTCGGCTTCTCAGGCAATGAGGAGGATGCCCAGTAGGGAGAGGGACCAGCGCTCAGGGAGCAGAGAGAGAGGCCCCGACGGCAGCGGGAGTGGAAAGCAAGTTAATTAGTAGATCAACTGGGAGAAGATCTGACCGCTTCTTGAGTACGGGGCCATGGCGGCCACCTCTCTTTGAATTGAGGAAGACCACCATGGGGCATTGCAACGCGCCGGCGCGTCCTTGAAGATTTTCTTTTCGGCGCTATTGCGGTGGCGATCGCAGGTCTCCGCCTCATCTTTTGACCTAATTGCGTCGACCACTTCCTGCTGGAGGTATTCCGGCATGACACGCTCCTTCCTCAGCACTTCCTTGTCGGTACAGACCCTCGAAATGCCGCACCCACGTAGCGAATTGATCACGAAGGATCTTGACGCTACAATCCTCGTTATCGCCGACGAATCCACTGTCGCCTTTGACGATTCCACCGCCACGGTCGAAGTCGTCGTTGAAGTTGGTGTGATAGAATATAGAACAAAATGTAATTTTTGTTGTTTTCAGGTAGTTATTGTAATTAGTAGTTTGTATAGGTACTAGGTAGTAATTTGGAGAACATTATAAAGGCTGTACAGTGTAACAGAACAACTCACCGTTTTATGCAATAATCATTTTCTCACTAAATCTGGCATGGTATCAGAGCTAAACTAGGGTTTCATTCTTGATTTCTTTCGTCTCTTTCTTTCTGCGTTACGATGGCGATTCCTCTTCCAGCAAATCTCGATCCAAATCATCCATACTATCTCAATCAGAACGAGAATCCGGCGCTAGTGCTTGTGTCGACGCTTCTCCATGGTGGCAATTACCAGTCCTGGGCGCGATAGATGAGGATGGCGTTACTCGCGAAGAACAAAGTCGCGTTCGTCAATGGTGAAGCTCCGCGTCCTGGAGATGCCGATCCGCTGCTTCCGGCTTGGGAGCATGCGAATCTGATGGTCTTGGGCTGGATCTATCGGTCTCTGGAGCCGACGATCGCTCAGTCGATTCTTTGGCTTGATTCCGCGCGAGAAGTCTGGCTCGATCTCCAGGAGCGTTTCGGTCAGGCGAATCTGGTACGGATCTCAGATCTGCACGAGGAGATCTATGGTTTCAGGCAAGGGAATCTGACTGTCACGGAGTATTATACTCGTTTCAAGGTTCTCTGGGACGAGTTCTTTGCCCTTCGGCCGTTGCCTGGCTGTTCTTGCACTCCTCGCTGCAGATGTGGAGCGTTCACAAGACTTCGTGGCTATGTTGAAGCTGATCAGATCATTAGGTTTCTTCGAGGCCTTCGCGATTCGTTTGGTCCGCTCCGGTCGCAGATTCTTCAGCAAGATCCACTCCCGCCGATCAATCATGTGTTTGCTCAAGTTGTTCAACAAGAGCGTGAGTCTCGTCATGGAGCATCTTTGGTTCCTCCTGCTCAGCCTCCCATGGAGTTTGCAGCTCCGTCGTCCTCTACTCAAGGAGGTTTTACTCAGGGTGCTTCTTCATCTGGTCAAGGTCGACGAGGTTCTAGAGATGGAGCCAAGAGGCCTATCTGCACTTTCTGTGGGCTGGCTGGTCACACGATCGAGAAGTGTTTCAAGAAGAACGGGTATCCACCTGGATACAAGGCTCGTGGCAAGGCGATCAATGCGGTGTGTGCTGGAGATTCTACTGATGAAGTTCCTGAAGGTGCTGCTGATGGCTTCACTCTTACTCGGGCTCAGTATCAAGCACTTGTCTCCCTCATTCAACCTCAACAGCAGACCAACAATCTGGGATCCATCAACTTGATGGCGGTCACAAACTCTCTGCCTGCGCATTCCACTTCTGCTCTCTATGAAGATGCAGCTGCGGCACAGGAAACTTCCTCTGCTTCTCACACTGCCTATGATGAGGTTGCAGGTAAGTTTGTTCTATCTATAGGTAGTGTGTCTCGCACTAGGTCTCTTGAACAAACATGGGTGGTAGACACTGGGGCTACTGACCATGTGGCTTGCTCGTTGTCTATGTTCAAAACCTATAATGATGTGCATAATTCCTTCGTAACTTTACCTAATGGTTCTAAGGCAAAAGTAACTCATATTGGAACAGTACATTTAAATGATAAGCTCATCATTTCTAATGTGCTGTTGATTCCATCATTCACGTTTATCTTGCTTTCTGTGAGCAAGTTGACTAAGCAACATAACTGTTCAATGACATTTATTCATAATGCTTGTTTTATCCAGGAGTTGTCAGCTATGCGGACGATTGGTATAGCTGAACAGATCTCTGGCCTTTACTACCTCCAACCTGGCAACTCTCTGCCTAGTCCTACTATCCCTCAACTACTCTCTGCATCTTATGACACATCACATACTGTGTTTGATTTGTGGCATTATCGATTAGGACATGCTTCTACTCCTAGAATAAAAGGTTTACAGGCTAATTCTGTACCTATTGTTGTTGATGATCATATCCACTGTTCTGTTTGTCCTCTAGCAAAACAGAAACGACTCCCTTTTGCATCTAGTGATTCTGTTAGTGCATCCCCATTTGATTTGATTCATTGTGATGTTTGGGGGCCTTATAAGGAACCAACTATTGATGGTCATCGATATTTCTTTGCTATTGTGGATGATCACACTAGAGTAACTTGGGTTTATCTTCTTAAACACAAGTCTGAAGCTAGGGAAATTCTTATAAATTTTTGTTCTTATGTATGTACTCAGTTTGCTATGACAGTTAAAGTGATAATAGCAGATAATGCTCAGGAATTTAATATTCCAAGTTTCTATAGTTCAAAGGGTATTTTACATCAAACTTCTTGTGTCCAAACTTCCCAACAGAATGGTCGGGTAGAAAGAAAATTGCAGCATATAGTCACTGTTGCTAGAGCTCTCCTATTCCAAGCTTCTCTTCCCATTCTATTTTGGGGTCATGCTGTTCTTCATGCTACTCATCTCATCAATCTCATCCCTTCACCTCTAACTCAGAATAAATCTCCCTTAGAACTTCTTCAGGGCACTCCCCCTGATCTGGCTTACCTTAGAGTTTTCGGTTGCTTAGCATATGCTAGTACTCTAAGTCATAATCGTCCAAAACTTGAACCAAGGTCAACTCCATGTGTATTTCTAGGTTATCCTTTTGGCACCAAAGGGTTTAAACTAGTTGACTTAAATACCAACCGTCAGATTGAATCTAGGGATGTTGTGTTTCATGAACATATCTTTCCTTCAAAAAGTCATCACCTTCCTCTGATTCTGAGTTAACTCTCCCAAACTTTGATCTTCTCATAGAACCTAGCCCCTATAGTGTTTCCCCTTATGTTCCCTCTTCTTGAATATTGCAGGTTGATAATCCTGTACATATTCCTTTGCAAATACCCAATAGTAATGCTCCAGCTCCTGCTGGAAGGCCACAAAGACAAACAAAGCCTCCTGCTAGACTCAAGGACTTTTTTTGTCATTCAACAGTGGCTACATCCACTAATATTACTCACCCTCTTTCCAAAGCTCTTTCTTATGACAATTTAGCTGCAGGTTACAAGAGCTTTGTCATGAATGTAACTAAGGAAGTTGAACCCACTTGCTATGAAGAGGCTATCAAGGATCCACTTTGGGTGGCAGCTATGCAAGCTGAACTTGATGCCTTAGCAGCAACTAATACCTGGAAGGTAACTTCTCTACCTTCTTCTCATAAAGCAATAGGTTTCAAATGGATGTATCGAATTAAATATAAGGCTGATGGATTTGTAGAGAGGTTTAAGGCTCGATTAGTAGCAAAAGGTTATACACAAACTAAGGGCATCGATTACTCAGAAACTTTTTCTCCTGTTGCTAAAATGACCACTGTTCGTGCTTTATTAGCATTGGCATCTGTCAAGGGCTGGGCTATTGAGCAATTAGATGTAAATAATGCGTTTTTACATGGGGATCTTATGGAGGAAGTTTATATGAAAATCCCTCAAGGTTTAACTCCTCCTGCTGACATCAAAAGACCTGTTTGTCGTTTAATCAAATCACTTTATGGTCTAAAACAAGCAAGTAGACAGTGGAATTCAAAATTGACTGAGTTTTTATTAGCTAATGGATTTGTTCAATCCAAGACAGATCATACTCTGTTTACAAAACAATCTGATTCTAAGTTTTTAGCTTTGTTAGTATATGTTGATGATGTGATACTAACAGGAGATGATCTGTTAGAAATGAAGTCCATTAAGTCTAAACTGGATGCTACTTTCAAGATTAAAGATTTAGGACCCCTACATTATTTCCTTGGATTAGAAATTGCTAGAAATTCTAAAGGACTAACTTTGTGTCAAAGAAAGTTCGCTTTAGATATTATTGCAGATGTTGGGTTGCTTGCTGGAAAAGTTGCAGAATCACCTTCTGAACCGATTATTCGATATTCTACTACTTCTGGTGAACCACTTTCTGATCCCTCTCCTTATAGAAGGTTAATTGGTAGATTATTGTACTTATGTACTACACGACCTGACATTCAATATGTTGTGCATCATCTTACTCAGTTTGTAGCTAATCCTACTGATTTGCACATGAATGCTGCGAATAGATTAGTTAGGTTTATTAGAAACAATCCTGGGAAAGGTTTGTTCTTTCCATCAGATTCTGCTGTAAGTTTGTCTGCTTTTTCAGACTCGGACTGGGCTGGTTGTCCTGACACTCGCAGGTCTACCACTGGCTTTTGTGTTTTTCTTGGCAAATCTTTGATTAGCTGGCGTTCCAAGAAACAAAAAAACATTAGTCAATCTTCTGCAGAAGCAGAATATCGAGCAATGGCTGATCTGTCTTGTGAATTACAGTGGCTAAGCTATTTGTTCAATGATCTTAATGTCAAGTTTGCTGACCCTTTTGCTTTATATTGTGATAATACTTCTGCTATAAGAATTGTAGAGAATCCAGTGGCACACGAACGCACAAAACACATCGAGATAGACTGCCATCTCATCCGTCAGAAAGTTGCAGCTCGCCTCATCAAGTTGTTCTACATTTCCACTGACAGCCAACTTGCCGATGTTCTTACCAAATCACTACCGATATATAGGTTTGTAGAATTGATAGGCAAGTTGGGCATGTGTGATATACATGCTCCAGCTTGAGAGGGGGTGATAGAATATAGAACAAAATGTAATTTTTGTTGTTTTCAGGGTAGTTATTGTAATTAGTAGTTTGTATAGGTACTAGGTAGTAATTTGGAGAACATTATAAAGGTTGTACAGTGTAACAGAATAACTCACCGTTTTATGCAATAATCATTTTCTCACAAAATCTGGCATGGTGAGTCCATATCTCCCTCTCTTTCTGCCCTCATCTCTCTCTCACTTGCTTCTATTATTGGCGGCGGTGCAGGGTGCGCGGGCGGCGGACGAGACCCCCCAAAAGTGAATACAGCAGAATGGAGGAAATATTTATTTATTTATTTATTTTATTATTTTAATAATGAGGTGGAATTTGTG